AGCTAGTGTTATTTTAGGATGATTTGTTGGATACCTGCTAGGTACCAGGTTCTGGGCTAGCATTTTCGGTACATTTGTTTTTGACAAACAGGAATAATTATCTCCACTGGGTCTTATAGGTAGAGGAAACCTCTTGACTTCCCTGAGTCCTTGCCGAGACCCCTCTTATCCCCTCCTCACCTTCAGCACCGATAGACACTAGCTTAACTCCTTTGCTGGCGATGAAGTCCAGGGCTTTATTGACATTGGCGATTTTGTGGAAGCGCATCTTTCCTTTGTCTGGTCTGGGCAACCTCTCTCCTGAGAATAAAAGGGTCAAAGGTCACGAGAGGGAGCCTGGGATGTACCTCAGTAGTAGAGTATTTGTCTAGCTTGACTGCATCTCTGAATTTGATTCTTAGCAATAATTAATTAATACATTAATTAAAATTAAAAAATTAAAACTGCTGTTCCCAGGCTCTTCCTTCTCCAGTACAAGTCCCTCCCAGCACTCTGCTGCCACCATTCCCATGGATCTCCAGATTTCCCTGACCACTGCTGTGCCCCCTCACCGGAAATGACCTCCAGGAGCAGCATGAGCTTCAGGCCATTGCGGAAGTCCTCTTCGATATTCTCGATCTGTGTGCCTGCCTTGCGCAGATGTGAGTTGCACCATGCAGTGAAGGTCTAGGGACAGAGGACAGTGGTTGGACCGTAGGACTGACTCTAGGGACGGGGATGCCTGGGACTGAGTCTGGTACACACAGACCTAGCTCCTCCATTAGGATAGGTCTTACAATCCAAACCCTGGTTCAACCTCTGGCTTCTATGTGTCCTTCTCCACTCCTTTACCACCTGGAGTTTTAGTTCTCCTGAGAGAAGAGAAGTGGCTCTGGGGCCTCTGTGGGTACCAGTCTGGATTTGGGACCTCCCTGTCCTGTGCTGTGTCAGCACTCCAGCTTTATCTAATTTAATCACTGGAGATGGGACTAGGAAACATTAACATACTTCCAAGTGTGGAGTTCCCCAAAGTCCAAGCAGCCTAGAGATATGGTCTCTAAACTGAGAGATCCTAAGGGGAACCGCAGTGATAAAAGATCAGGAGCTTGTGCAGGCCCAGGAAGGGTAGACAAGGGCAAGCCAGGCAGGGGCAGACACAAGGGGAAACGTGTAGTGAAAACAGTTGTTCTGTTTATGGGGCTGCACTGCGGCACCGCTGAAATGAAGCTGGGGGTGTTGTGTGGTGAGAGACAGACCGGAGGGGTGGCAGGGGCCAGGTCATGCATAGTCCTGGGTGCTAAGCTGGGGAGTTTGAACTTGATCCTGAGAGCTACAGAGAGTTGGCAAAGCTTCAGGCAAGAAGGAGGCATCAGAACTTAATTATTTTTGAGACAAAGCTCTCTGTGTAGCCCTGGCTATCCTGGAACTTCTTATGTGGAACAGGCCAACTGACAGAGATTTGCTTGCCTCTGTCTCCCAAATGTAGTCTAAAATGGTACATTTAAAGGCTCACTCTGGATGCAGAGTGGGGACGATGGTTGTCAGAACAGAAGGGAAAAATGAGGAGGTGGGATGGACACAAGGCTCGAGAGAGATGGGAGTGGGAATGAGGAGGTGGGGGTTCGATTTGTTTCATTCTGATTCCAGACTTCTTATGGCCTATTTATGGGGCTTGAGCAGAGGTAAGATTGCTCAGTGGTAAGATTACTGGTTCTTCTTCTGAAGAATCCAGATTGGATTCCCAGCACCCATGTTAGGAGGCTTATAAGTGCTTGTAACTGCAACTCCAGAGATTTGACACCCTCTTCTGGTCTTCATGGGCTCCCATATACATACACATAAATAAAATAAAACTTTAATGGAGATTCTGACATGTAGCTGGGTTGGTAGAGTGGCTGCCTAGTACACAAGAAGCCCCTGGCTTGACTCCTAGCTTAGAAAGTGGAGAAAGAGCTGGAGAGACCTCTCTGTGATTAAGAGCACTTGTTGCTTTTGCAGAAGACCCAGGCTCAATTCTCAGCATCTGTTTGGTGGCTCATTACCGCCCATAATTCCATGTCCACGGAATCTGATACCCTATTCTGACCTCCGCAGGCATCAAACATGCATGTAATTCACATACATACAAGACACATAAAATAAGATGAAGAAATCTCATAAATTTTTTTTTTTTAAAGGGGAGGCTGGGGAACAGAAATTTAAAGTCATTCTTGGTTCCGTGGCAAATTCAAGACCATCTAGGGCCACATCAGACTTTTAAAAAGCCTAGAAATGTTTATGGACCAATTTTTTTTTTAAATACTGACAACCAAAGGGGACTCCGGTATCAGGGAGAACAGAGTGTTCCAAAGCTGGAAACCATAGATACTGGTAAGTGGGGAAGAATGCAGCAGCAGGGATGGATGGGGCAGGGCGGTACCTGCTGTACCACAAGGATGTTACAGCTGTGAGATAAACAATGTGGAATGAGGAAGAAAAACCCACATGCCCATCTACTGGGTGTGCTAACTGGTTTTCAGAGCATCTGTCCTGTTCTATTGATGGATTAATGGTGAACTTGGGTTGGTGGTCGACATTGTTGATGGACATGGATGGCTAGAAATTGGAATGAAAGAATGCTTCTGATATTTTAAATGACAAAGGCAAGAAAGAGACTGACAGATGTTATGGTAGGAACACATAGACTTTGATCTGGGAGAGGGATGGCTGGCTGGGGGTAGGGCAAGGGTTGTTGAGGAGCAAATGGCAGCTGGAGCCGGGCAGGGATGACATCACCCCGGGGATTGCAGGAACTCAGGGACCACAGCCATGCTTGGAGACAGGTGCAGGGGAGGGGTGGAGGGGGTTGGGTGGAGGGTGGATCATCCCAGGCCTCATTCCATTCAGCTCAGGCTTCTCACCCCTGCAGTCAAGCTCTTGTCATCTAACACAGCGGAAATGATCTGGTTGTAAATTCTGGGGGTTCTCAGGTCCTGCAAAGTCCTCTACTTTCCCGAAAGCACACACAGTTGGCAAAAGATAAGTCCAGTGGCTTCATGGTGCCCACCCTAAGCCTGGCCTGCAGATCCTCAAAATTTTCTCAGTTTGGATGGAATCATTTTCTCTTCAGGGAACCCAGGTGTCCTACTCCCTCTGCTGGGGAGCTAGGAATGAAAATAAACCAGGGAAGGAGGGGGCAGTGCCCTACAAGGCTGGGCCTGGGCAACAGCTGCCCACATGGCCCTCTTGAGCTCCTACAAAGGCGCTGCCTCAGCACAAGTGTCTGTGTGGGAGCCTGGGTTAAGTTACTGGTAAGGGGACCCGGGGCTCCCCTCCTCCTGACCTTCTGGCCTTTTCAGCAGACTCAGGACTTCTAGACAGGAGTATCTTGGGAAAGAATGGGGTGGGGTAAGGAACAAAGACCCTCACAGTACATAACAGGCTGCCTATCTCTGCCCTTTTCTGGGCCTCAGTTTCCTCAATTGTCAAGCCAGTAGAGGGACTGTGGACATCGCCCTGAGCAGAAGACATAGCAGAGGATGGGAGACAATATGAGATGGTTCTTCTCTCCTATACCCCCAAATCCACTGGCTGTGTGTCTAGCATGTTCTCCTCAGGATGGGGTCTAGGGATACTTAACTGGAGAATAGGGTGGATGTGTGGAGGAATGTAACTTCTTGAGAACCTGTCACCTCCCACCCAAGAACAAATTAGGTCTCTTGGGCCTTGTCCAAAATCCACTTTTCACCAGCACAAGAGGGGCAGTGGGCTTAAAGTTGTTGGGGAGTCACTGAGGGACTCCACGGTGTCCTTGACATCCTAAATCCCTCGTGAGAACTTTCGGCCTTTCTCCTAAACTTTGAGGACAGCAGATAGCTGGTGGGCAGAGCCTGGTTTGGAGAGTTGCCGTTTAGATTACAAGCAGGCTCTGACCTTGAACTGCCCAAATGCCCGGGAAGAACTGCCTGGCCTCCCAGCCTCAGTTTTTGCCTTTGGGAAATGGGTGAGCACTCACTTTCCGCTGCTGTTTCTCCCAGGCTGGGTCCAACAGCAAGTCGCGGTCCCAGTCCTCCTCCTGTTCCATGTACTCGCCGCCCCCGCCGGCAGAGAAGGGCCCCTCCCCGGCCCCCAGACCCTCGGGCTGCATAACCATCATCATCTTGCTCAGGCTCTTGGCTCCGCTCTGCTCCACTGGGCGAGCTCCTGCACGCTCAGGCCGGGTTAAGTAGGACCCGGCCCAACCCTCAGATCAGGTTCGTACTAAATATGGGGGACGTGGGTGGGGCCAGATAGGGGGCGAGGGAGGTTGGGTCTGGACCAGAGAAGAGATTGTGCTGGAGTCAAAGATTGCGGAATCGCAGGGGATGCTGGGGTGACTACTGGCCTAGATAGCGGGTTCGCATTTCAGCTCTGTGGTTAGCTTGCTGTGTGATCTTGGACGTTGTCTGTTTCCTCATCTATAAAGTGAGGTCCAAGTGGTGGTTGCAGGCCATCCTAAAGGCTGCCCCTTGGACCTGAGTCTGTCCCTTTTAAGCATTGTGCGCGAGAAACAGACTCCTATTTCTATTTCACAGTCTGTAACACCAAGGCAACAAGTTGTTTGGGGAGTTTTCTTGGGTGATGGAGACACCCGAGCATGGGGAAGGGCTCGGGGCCATATGATAGGGCCAGCCAGGTCTATTAATACCGGGGCGGCTATAGAGGAGTGTAGGGAGAATGTGCTGAGCCGGGAAACCCCGACGCCCCGGGGGCTGCAACTCAATACTCTCGGAGTGGCAGCAAGCCACACCGGGGGCGGCCCCTGCCGTGTGCTGGACAACGGCTTCTTTTTGACACCTGGGCGGCAGCACCAATCGGACTTTTGAACATCTGGTCAGTCAGCCAATCACTTCTCCGTATCTGTGGTCCCTCCCTGTAAGTCTGGCGCTCAACGCATCCCTGCAGAGCTCCTATTGGTCATGCCAGACATCAGTCCGCTGCTATGCCCGCCCCAATACGGAAGCAGTGGGATCTCAGTGATCCGAAAGCCGGTGGGTCGGACCATGGGGGAGCCCTGGGCAGCTCGGGGCGCAGAAGGAGCGCCCGCGCGGATGTCACTGGTGCTCACCGCGCTGTGGGTCGCCGTCGTGGTCCTGGAGCTGGCCTACGTGATGGTGCTGGGGCCTGGGCCACCCCCTCTGGGACCACTGGCCCGGGCCTTGCAACTGGCGCTGGCTGCTTATCAGCTGCTCAATCTGCTGGGCAACGTGGGGCTCTTCCTGCGCTCGGATCCCAGCATTCGGGGGGTGATGCTGGCTGGCCGCGGCCTGGGCCAGGGCTGGGCGTGAGTGTCGGGCTCGGGGGTCGGCGGGCAGAAGCGGGGAACTGGGGGGCGCTGGTACCAAGAGAGGCCCCAGAACTTGAGGTGTTAGAAACCAGATGATGTTAGCATCCGGGTTGTTAGAGCCGTAGAACTCCTTTAGAACCTGGCATCCGCCACTTATTCATTCAGCTATTGAACAGGCACTGTTCTGAGGACTCAATTGAAAACAGATGCCCGACCTCCTGGAGTTGATTTCAGTGGTGGAAGGGGCAGATAATAAAGATAATAATAGGCCAATAAAAAAAGCAAATTGCATAAAATAGATGGTAAAGGATGATACAGAAACAAAACATAAAGCAGAGTAAAGAAGGCGAGAAGGGCAAATTTATTATTTTTATTATTTTTGTCTGTATGTATGATGTGTGTCTGAGTCCAGGCGTGCTGCCGAGGCACACAGGTGGAGGTAAGAGGACAACTTTCAGGAGTTGGTTCTCTCCTACCACGTGGGTTCAGGCCTGTGCAACAAATGCCTTTAACTACTGAGCCATCTCCTCAGCACAAAGTTTCAGGTTTAAATAGATGGTCAATTTTCAGCACAAGACTTTTAGGTGATGGATTTGTTAAATAGCTTGATTTATTAATTTACATTTTACTAAAAAGCCATAGCATCCTCAAATTTATTAAGACTAACTTGTCCATTTACAATTAAAAACTAAAAATGAATAAGTGGCCAAGGTGGACATCACTCAGGCATTTGCACAAAGCCTTGAGGTGGTAGAGTCAGCCACTTGGGAAGTTTTGAACTGGTTTCTGAGAGAGGGAAGCAGACCAAGAAAAGGCAGAAGCCACTGTATGCCCAGAATATTCCAGAACCACAAGGCCAGTGACTGGAGTGGAGAGGGAGAAAGAGATGTTAGTGGCAGAAGTACTGCCAAGCCTTTGAAAACTTTGATTTTCAGTGGGCATGTCTCAGGAGGTAGCCACTAGATGGAGGTGCCTGGCCAAGACAGTGACTGTTCTTGCTTTCCCAAGATGGTCTCTGAGGCTGAGGTTGGGCATGGTCTGGGGCATTGAGAGCTACTGGGGGCACTGACCTGTGTCCTTGCCCCCACCCCCTGCAGTTACTGTTACCAGTGCCAAAGCCAGGTGCCACCACGTAGTGGGCACTGCTCTGCCTGCCGTGTGTGTATCCTACGTCGTGACCATCACTGTCGCCTACTGGGCCGCTGTGTGGGCTTCCATAATTACCGGCCCTTCCTGTGCCTCCTGCTTCATGCTGCTGGTGTGCTGCTCCACGTCTCAGTGCTGCTAAGCCCGGCCCTGTCAGCCTTGCTGCAGGCCCACTCCGCCCTCTACACGGTGGCTCTCCTGCTGTTGCCTTGGCTCATGCTACTCACAGGTGGGGAGCTTTCTGAACTTTTGGGGAGCCAGAGACCCTTGCACTGGGTTGGGGAACAAGGCCCCTTCCCGTGGGAGGTGTAGTGTTCAGCTGGTTCTCTTGGCCAATGCTTTGGGGACCCAGTCCCAGTGTCATTTAAGGAGAGAGGGAAGCCTGGTACTTAGCTGAGTGTGAAGTACTGTACCTGGTGCTCCAGGACAAGAGCAGAGCTCTGGCCCCCAGAATCAAGAAGGACAGATGGACCAGATGGTCTAACTATCCCCCCGCCCCACACAGAGAAGGAGTGTTGCTGTGTGTACAACACAAACCCTGAAAGGAACAAAATGCAGTTTCATGGGCATGGTGAGAACTAGGCCTAGAACTAGGGTCAGGACTGGGTGGTAGAGGACTTGAGTCCTGGGGTGTAGGACTGGGTGGTAGAGGACTTGAGTCCTGGGGTGTAGGACTGGGTGGTAGAGGACTTGAGTCCTGGGGTGTAGGACTGGGTGGTAGAGGACTTGAGTGCTGGGGTGTAGGACTGGGTGGTAGAGGACTTGAGTGCTGGGGTGTGAGGACTGGGTGGTAGAGGACTTGAGTGCTGGGGTGTCAGGACTGGGTGGTAGAGGACTTGAGTGCTGGGGTGTCAGGACTGGGTGGTAGAGGACTTGAGTGCTGGGGTGTAGGACTGGGTGGTAGAGGACTTGAGTGCTGGGGTGAGACATGGGTCTGATTTGACGGGGCAGTGGGGAGCCAGTGAAAGTCATGCGTAGGGAAGCCCTTCTCTTTGGGAATTGGGAGGAGACTTGATTGAGTTCCTAGGTTCTGGATGGTGTGAGTACTCCTCTTTTTTTGACACCAGCTAGGATAAAAGTTCCATGGATTTGTGTATTCTTTGTCCCTTCTGGCCAGAACACTTTGGGCTTTGTTTCTTGAATCCTTTCTCCTGACCTTTCCACTGTTCCTGTTAACCTTGTTCTGCAATCTCCCTGACCCTTCTGAGAAGTCACCATGCCTCCTCATCCTCTTGAATCCTACCTCTGTCCTAAATACCCTCCCCCCAAAACACACGCACACGCACACACGCATGCACAAGCGCTCTTCGGGTCTGTGTTTTCTGAGGCTGGGTGCTTTCCTACAGTTATCATAGCTTACCTCACTGTCCCCAGACACTGACTTGGGCTCCCAGCCTCTCAACCCCAGAATCTGTTGAACCAAAAGCACCAATTGCCAGTGGCCTTACCCATGCCCAGAAGGCTTGCTTGGATATTCCTCTCTTCATTCTTCTCTATTTCCTTCCTTCCTCCCTCCCTCCCTCCCTCCTTCCTTCTCTCCCTTCCTTCTCTCTCTCTCCCTCCCTCCCTCCCTCCCTCCCTCCCTCCCTCCCTCCCTCCCTCTCTTCCTCTCTCCCTTCCTTCCTTCCTTCCTATACAGTCTTGGTGTGTAACCCAGGCTAGCCTTGAACTCATAATCCGCTTCATCGACTCTCCAAATCCTGGGCTTACCGGCATGTGCTCACCTCTGGCTTCCGTTTCTTGGCCTGGGTTTTGTTTCCCCAACTCTCACACCCACACCTAATCCTTGTCAGAACTCAGAACAGCTCATTATTCATCTTGCCTATCCCATCTTTACTGCTCTGGTCTAGCCTGGAGCCCGTCATTTCCACCTTTCTCCTGTCAGCCTCTCAAGGATCCTCACTCAGCTTCCCTCCCCGGCTGCTGAGAGCTCAGATACGTGTGCTGTTCTGCCTCACCTTACTCTCCGTATGAAACCCAGGTTGGTAGGCACATTGAGAGTGTGTGGGTAACCTGGGTTACATGTGAGCTACAGATGAGCCTGAGCCGTTTTTGTCTCAAAAACAAAAGAACAGGAATGTTCCTGTGTTCAACTCTCCCACGGAGGTGGGAGGGCTTCTGAAAGCTGCTAGAGGCCTCTGCTTATTTTGTCTACTCCTGTTCCTGTGGCCAGCTCTCTCCGTTGGTGTTCGTTGGTGTTCTCCTTATTTTACCTTCTTTCAAAGGACTTGTGCAGGCTTACAGCTGCTTCCTTCCCTGGTCTCCACTCTGCCCTTCCTCCTCGGGTGGCACAAGCTAGGCTGTCTAGAAAATCCAGCTCTCTTCTTCCTCTAGGGGACCTCTCAGGTTCAGATGCTTCCAGCGCCACATTCTTTTTTTTTTTTTTTTTTTTTTTAATATTTATTTATTTATTTATTTATTTATTATGAATACACTGTAGCTGTCTTCAGACACACCAGAAGAGGGCATCAGATCTCATTATAGATGGTTGTGAGCCACCATGTGGTTGCTGGGATTTGAACTCAGGACCTCTGGAAGTGCAGTCAGTGCTCTTAACCACTGAGCCATCTCTCCAGCCCCAGCGGCACATTCTTAACAGTTTTGCCCTTGGTGTCATCACAGCTCAGGCTTTGATATTCCCAACTCAACCTTCTGTCGTGCTCTTCCTTTCGTCTGGTCTCCACAGACTTGGTAACTTATACTTGAGTGTAGGGAACCTCGTCTCACTGGGGCATGTCCTGATGTTCTTGGAGCCCCTCCCTTCAGGTTTCCATTGTATACAGATCTGCTGTGCAACAGGACTTCTTAAACTGCCAGACCATTGACACTGTCTCCTAGGAGAGTCTCTTCTGGACAGGATGTTCTCTCTCCCTTTTATCAAAATAGTGAAGTCTATTTTCTCCACCCTTAGTATTTTTTGCACAGCACTTCGGCCATGGTTTGTGGATGGGTGCGTGCATGCATGCATGTGTGTGCGCGCGCGTGCATGTGTGTATACTTCTGAAGGTCAGAAGACAATCTTGGGCACCTTTCACCTTCTGTTTAGGGTAGTGTCTCATTGTCCTGGAACTATGCCAACTAGGCCAGGCCAGCTAGCCAATAGGCTCCAGGGATGCATCTGTGTCTTCCTCCTATCCAGTCATGGCTGGAATTACAGGCATATGTCACCACATCCAGATTTCTATGTGGGTCTTGTGGATCTGAACTCAGAGCCTTGTGCTCACAAGGCAAGCAGTTTACTGAGTGAGCCATTTCCTCAGACCAAGAACTCTTATTGATACAAAACACATCATTTTAGCCAGTTGGAAGTGTACAACTCTGTAGATTTTAGTATATTTCTAAATATACTAAATGTCTGTATTTAGTATAGAGTGTAGTACAGCCATCACCACTATCTAATTTCAGAACATTTTCACTCCAAAGAGAAATGCTGTGTCCAGTGAGAGCCCCTCTCACGACTCCCTAGACGCCCTCAGCCCGACCATCGCCAGTGTGCTTTCTGTGCATGCGCTTGCCCATTCAAGACAGCTCACAGCAAGCATAGCCCACAACCCATGGCCCTCCATGCCTTGCTTCCTTCACTTAGCACAGTGTTTCATGGTCTTTGGAGATCAGTTAGTTATTCAGCAGGAACTAGCTGCCTACTGAGGTCAAGATGATAAATGGTACACTTTTCCATGTAACACAGATCCCAGGTGGAACTAAGTAATTGAATTTACAGAATGGAGGCATGAGCTTCTTTGGTGGGAGGAGGGCAGGATTAGGGTTTGGGAAGGCCAGCCAACTGCTATTCCCTGAGCCCCTTTCTGTTTTCTCCCCACAGGCAAAGTGTCTCTGGCCCAGTTCGTCCTAGCCTTTGTGGTGGACACATGTGTGGCAGGCGCACTGCTGTGTGCTGCTGGGCTGCTCTTCCATGGGATGCTGCTGCTTCGAGGCCAGACCACCTGGGAGTGGGCTCGGGGTCGCCACTCCTATGACCTGGGCACCTGCCACAACCTGCAGGCAGCCCTGGGCCCTCGCTGGGCCCTTGTCTGGTTCTGGCCTTTTCTAGCTTCTCCTTTGCCTGGAGATGGGATCACTTTCCAGACTCCAACTGATGTGGGTCTTGTGACTTCCTGAGTCCAGGTAGAGCCAGAACTGAACAGGGCAGAGGGGAGCAGAGAAGCAAACTGAGAACTTGTTTTTAGCTTCCTGCCAGCCACAGGAGAGAGGCCAGATTGCCCGTGTGTGTGTAGCAGGCAGCTCCAGCTCCTTTGAATCTGCCCAGTGTGGGCTCTTCCATCTCTATAGTTGGCCCTTGTGGCAGAGGAGGGTTTGGCAAGAGGGCTACTTGGCCTGACTGACTGCTCTTCTATAGGCTAGTAAATGTCCACCTGGTTCTTGGCCTCCCCCATCTTTTTTTTTTTTTTTTTTTCTCGAGACCGGGTTTCTCTGTGTAGCCCTGGCTGTCCTGGAACTCACTCTGTAGACCAGGCTGGCCTCGAACTCTTGAGCTCAGAAATCCACCTGCCTCTGCCTCCCAAGTGCTGGGATTAAAGGCGTGCACCACCACCGCCCGGCGGCCTCCCCCATCTTTGCTGGGTTTCTATCCCTCATTTTGTTGTTTTGGTTGCTGTTTTCCAGTTCTCATGTCAGGCCTGGAGACTACAGAAAGTCTGAGATCCCAATGGGCCAGGGCTCTGTGTCCTCTGGCTCTGGCAAGGTGTGGTGGGATCCAGGCAAGGAGAATCCACACATGTTCTGGAGAGTAGCACTCCACAGACACACATCTGCAGCAGGGGTTGGAGGAAGCTCTTGTAGCTCACCTGTATGTGGGGTCACAGTTAGATCTTTGTTCTGGAAGAAACAGAAAAGTCCTGCTAGACCATGGGACAAGACTGTGGGGTAGAAATGTAGACCTTACTGGCCTCAAACTCAAGGAAACCCACTGGCTTCTCCTTTCTGAGCGCTGGGATTAAAGACATTTGCCACCATGACTGGCCTAAGAGGTTAGATTTGAATCCAGGTCTTTGAATCTGCTTTACTTTTTTGCACACCTTAAGTGAGAAAGGGAACATCAGGGCTAAAATAACTAGCTTCCAAGCGTTCTAGAGTTTGTGAAGGGTGATTTTAATATTTGTGTTTGTGTGTGTGTGTGTGTGTATGTGAGAGAGAAAGAGAGAGAGAGAGAGAGAGAGAGAGAGAGAGAGAGAGAGAGAGAGAGAGAGAGAGAGAAAGAATATGAGAATGGTTGTGTGCATGCATGGGCATGTATATGTGGGTGCCCATGGAGACCAAAAGAGTGCATATTGAGATGTGTCCACATTACTGCATGTAGTAGTATGGTACTCTTTTTCTCTTCCGCATGGAGAGCTGAAAATACCATAACCAAACACTTCCTATTTTCTTCCACAGGTAATTTTTCTACCCCATCCCCATCCCATGCACACTTCCCCCAACTTAGTGGGAATCACCCCCTAGGAGCCCTTGCTCTTCCATACCAATCTGAGAATCAGCTCTTCAGATTTCACCAATGAAAGCCCACCTTGAAATATTAAGTGGAACCCAATGGACTATATCTTAGCTTGGAGAAAATCCGCATCTATGAGAGATTTAACTTTTCAGGCCATGAACATGGTTTATCTTCTCAATGAATATTTTTATTTTTTGAGACAGGGTTTCACTTTGTAGCTTTGTAGCTATGGTTAGCCTAGAAATTACTATTCAGCCCAGGCTAAACTCAAACTCAGAGATTTACCTGTCTCTGCCTCCTAAGCACTGGGATTAAAAGTGTGCACCACCATGCCAGCTTTAAATATTTTCAATAAAGGTTTTTTTTTCTGACAAAGATCATGTCTTTTGAGTGGATTTATTTTTATATTTTAATGTTATAAAGGATTTATGAAGAGATTGTTGAGCACACATAAAAAGCACTAGATTTTTTTAAAGATTAGTTTTCCTTTTGTGTGTGTGAGAGAGGCATGCCTATTCCATAGCACACGTGGCGGGTCAGAGGGTAACTTGGTTCTTCCCACCATGTGAGATCTGGGACTGAACTCAGGTCACCAGGTTTGACAGTCCATGTCTTTACTTGCTGGGCAGTCTCAATGGCCCTTCATTGTAGATTCTTTTGTTTACTGTATTTGTAATCATAACATCTTTTTCTTCCTCTAAAAAACTATTTTAGTGGAGACAGCAGTTCAGACTGGCCTGGAGCTATGTAGCCCAGGATGGCTTTGAACTTTCATTGACATTCCTGCCTCAACTTTCTGAATTCTGGGCTTAGAGGTGTGAGCCACTACATCTGGTTTCCTTTTACATTTAAAATATTTTTATAGGGGCTAGAGAGATGGCTCAGTGGTTAAGAGCACTGACTGCTCTTCTAGAGGATGAGGGTTCGATTCCCAGCAGCTACCTAGCAGCTCACAATTGTCTGTAACTCCAAGATCTGACACTGTCACACAGACATACATGCAGGCAAAACACCAATGCACATAAAAAATAAAAGTATTTTTAAAGTACGTTTATGGTCCTTGCTTCTCTTCATGGGTGAGGTCACTGTGCAATGTAAGATGCAGCTTCACTTTTTTTTACTTTAAACTTTTTATTTTATGCTAATGAGTACCTACATGCATGTATGTGAACCATGTGGGTGCCGTGCCTAGTGCCAAGAGAGGTGGTCAGATCACCTGGAACTGGAGTCATAAGCAGTTGTGAATCATGTCATATGGGTGCTAGGAACTGAGCCCAGGTCCTCTGCAAGGCCAGCAACTATTCTCTATCACTGAGCCACCCTTCCAGCTAGATTGTTTTATTAAATAAATTCATTATGAAAATTCTATTTCTATTGTAAAGAGAAAAAAAAAAAAAGGACCCAATCTTGGGCCTAGAGGGAGAGGCCAGACCACAAGAGTCTCAGGCTGTGCCCCTTGGGGGCTTTGCAGTGGCTGCAGGTGGCCCTGCACAGCCTCCACACAGAGAGGCCTGGGTTTTTGGGCAAAAGCAAAACCTTGCCCTTTGCCTCTACCCACCCCAGATGAAGGACTCAGTATTTTTGCCTCATTTTCTGGCCTCTGGTTCAATATTACTTAAAGCCCTTGAGTGCTAACTATTAACCCCTCCCCCCCAAATAAAATAAAACAAATTCATTATAAGTTTTTGTTTTATTAGATGTTGTTAGACTACACAACAAACAAATAAATGCAAAACTTAAAGAGAAGAAAATATAAGGACTGAACAGAGGAGTTGAGAACTAAGAAAAAAGAGTTTAAAACTTAAGAAAAGCTTACAAAATTCTCATTCTCAGAAAACAAAGCAAAAAGATGACCATGAAAGAAGAGAGAAGATAATTAGTATCAATTCAGTCCTCTCAGGAGCGGCTATTTGTCAGACGTTACACTTAACTAAAGTCCCAGAGAGAGAACAGGCTAGCCCTGAGGAGGAATGTCCATCTACCCCCATCTCAAAGCAGCAATTAGGACTGAGCATAGAAGACATGGGAGCTTCATCTATAGGAGAAACTGTTCCACCCAAACAGTTTGTCCACCCAAACTGTTCCATATGTGAGCTGAATACAGCAGTGTCCAGACAAGCAGTGGTATAAAGACTTGGGTGGAGTCTTGGTCAGGGTTCTCTAGGGTCACAGAACTTATGGAATGTCTCTATATATCAAGGGAAACTATTGGAATGACTTACAGATTGCAATCCAACTAACCCAACAATGGGCAGCTGAGAATGGGAAGTCCAAGAGTCTAGTAGTTGCTCAGTCCCCCGAGGCTGGGTGTTTCCGCTGCTCTTCTGTATAAGCTGGAATCCTGAAGAAGTAGGCTCCACAGACGTGCTGGCAAGTGAGTGCAAGTAGGTGAAGAAGAAGCAAGCCCTTCTTCCATTGTCCTTCTGTAGACCTCCAGCAGAAAGTATGGCTCATTAAAACAGGTGGGTTTTAAAATGAAGTTACCCTTGGGTATGTTTACCCAGTGAGGGCAGAATAAGAAAGAAGACATGGAACCCAGGAATCAGGGGCCCTAACCTTGGGATAATGTGAAAGGGAACTCTCTTATACAGGAGTCTATACAGAAGCAAAGTCTGAAGGAAGTGCCCCGAGAAAAAAACAGATTGGATGGGGGAATTTTCAATGGTATGTTAGAAAACTAAGCAATGAAAGAAAGAAAAGTCAAACAAAGTGCCAATTCCATGAAAATATCTAAAAGCTCAAAAATGGTTTGCTATAGCTAATTCTTAGCTTTACTAAGACTTTCACAAATCAATATAAACAGCAGTGTAAACAGTGAGTACTGATTATCTAAAGCACGGGGCGGGAGCATCTCAAGAGCGCCGAACACTCATCTGTTACAACAGGGAGTCACCAGGTCATGTCTAAGATGGATTGCTGAAGTGAGACTATGTGGCTGGAGGGGTGCTCAGCGGGTAAGAGCCCTCATTCTTGCCAAGGACCCAGGTGTGGCTGCCAGTACCATACTGGGTAGCTAGCTCACAACCACCTGTAACTCCAGCTCCTGGGGCTCCAACGCCCTTTTCTGGACTCCTCGGGTACCTGTACTTACAGACATACCTCCCCCCATCCACATACATAATTTTAAAAGAATCTTTTTATATCTGTTTTTAAAATAGTTAATGAAAATGGCTGTTGAATAGGAAGGGTCTGTGGAATGGGAAGAGGGCATTTTATTTTAAATAAGTCTATTCTAGATCACTGCATAGGTGTGTTTCAAAATAAGGGTTATTTTTAAAAAGATACTCTCTTCATCCTTAAGGTTCACAATCTATTAGTGCTCTCGCTCCTGTGGGTACTAGTACTCTGCACTGTTTACTGCTCTCGCTCCTGTGGGTACTAGTACTCTGCACTGTTTAC